TTCAATTTCAGTTGCATTATATGTGAAATAAAGCATCAACACTATTGCTTTTTTTAAAAAAAGCTACAATAATAATGAATATAAAAATAGAAACAATCTGAAAGGTTATAATTAAGACACATAATCTCTTTCCATCTCTTACTGGTGTTTCCCAGTGTTCTCTAAGGTGCTCACAAAAGTCTATTCTTGAGGTGCTTCAAGTATTAATCTTTGCAATGCAAGGATATTTGCATAGCTGTAGGTGTGCGTCTGTCTGTGTGTAAACACGTATATTTTACTACTCAACAGCTGGAAGAGCTTTTCATACCAGTCCAGATAGATAATTCTTATCAAATAACCATACCTTATAATAATACTGTACATTAATAATTATAATAGTATACCTTATAATAATACTAGAGTGCTATCCAGTTCTCTACAGGCTGTTTCTTATTTTTTCCTATGACATATCATTTTGCAATAAATATATATCCTTTTGATATGTGTTCCTATGTTATTTCATAGAAACAGAATTTTTGGGTGAAAGTATATGTATATTTAAAATGTTGATATTTGTAGTTAATGTCAAAATGCAATCTATGATTGTAGCAGTCACACTTAAAAGCCCACAGTTTTTGAGAATGGCTGTTTGTCCACATTCTCAACAACCAGTGCTTGGTAAACATTTATTTCATATGACAGTCTGATTCAGTAAAGAAAATATAATTTGTGTTTAATTAAAAGAGGAAAGGAAGCACAATGGTCTGTGATGGTGAAATATGGGTGAGTTGGTGGGCACATTGTGGTAGTAATAACTAATCAGGGTATCCCGGTATTGGCTCAATTAAAAATAAATAAATTACAAAAAAATTTAAAAAATCCTATTTGGATTTATTTATTGCCAGTCATTTGTTAAACTTCTGAATACTCAGGATCAGTTTGGTTTCTTTGGAAATACAGATTCTTTGGAAATGCAAAGCTCTGGAATTAAGTATGACTGAGGATAGATTGACATTTGCTTTTTAAACAATTACTGTAATGTTTCTGAGATAGGTGATGCACTTTGATATACAATGGAATACTATTCAGCTATATAAAATGATGAACTCTTGTGACAACATAGATGAACTGGAGGGGATGGTGCTTAGTAAAATGAATGAGAACTAGAAAGACAAACACTATGTTTTCATGCATATATAGAATATAGATAAACAAAACAGAGTCAGACAAAACCAAACCAGAAAACTGTAAAACTAAGGCTACTAACAGGTTAGGGAGAGGGTGGAGAGTAAGAGGGAGAGGAGACCCAGTGGACTATGGTGAAGGATTATGTATGTTTTGGTGGTGGGTATAGTGTGGTAACATACATCTGAAGAGCGTAACATATATAGTAGTGTTTCATATGGTCACCTTTTTAAAACACCTCCATTCACAATAGAATTTCCCTTGTTTTCAATCATGGTACCCTGTGGATTTGTCTTGTTAGCACTGATCACAGATTAGAATGACCTTATTAAGATGTTTCCATTTTTATAACCTGACCCTATTGTAAGAATGTAAGGCAAATGAGTAAAATTTGAATGAAAATCTTCTATAAGATCAAATCAGCCAGGACTATTATCCTGCCCCCTTTTTTTTCCTGTTTAGCAACTACTATATCCCTCAGTTTGTAGTAGAGAGCCTGATACAAATAAGTGCTGAATATATTAAAAAAATAATGAAAGTTAGATAAATAGTTATGTGTCTGAAGTGTAGGTAAAATTTCATCAACCCACAATTACAGGCCAAAAAAAAAAAAAAAAAAGAATTTGAGTACTAGATAAAAGGAAAGAAAATCTCACTGTGAAAAGTGGCAAAATAAATGATGAAATCATCTTCCTTGGAAAAAAAATGACAGGACTTATATTTTATTCTTGACTGGCAAACTGCCATAATGGTTCTGAAGCTATGTCACTCCTTGTCACATCTTCACAACCCTCGGTACATGGTAGTTCTAACAGCAGCTTCATCTATAAACATTCTTTTAACTGCAGTGGACAATCACATGAATATAATGAAGTAGAAAGCAGCCTTGGACATGCTCCAGTTGCATCACCTGGTAAAATGCCTGGTGGGAATGTATAAATAATCCATGATCTTTGTTTCTATCAGGACAGGATGGTATCCTATTCAAACTGATAGAACTCTTTAAAGAGGAGAACTGACTATCTCAAGAAATTAGTTGTTACAGAATAACCTTTGTGGTAAAATAACTATTTGGTAACTTCTTACAGGTCATATCATTTATTTGCCTTCTTTTTCTTTTAGTTCATAGACATTCCTTTCCAGTCGAACAGCCTCTACACAGAGTAGAAATAATGGTTTAAGAATTTTTTGAGTGGAATTTAGGTCTCAATAAGTTTTGAGCTTACATGTTTCCTTGAAAACGTTTAACTGGGCCATTTAAGACCCTGGATGGCTGCCGCCAGATGGAAAGGAAAGAGCACTTTGTTTGCCTTCTTGACAAATTATCTTGACATAGAAAATTTTTGTTTTTTGTGTGCACCATGGAATTCTTTTTAAGTAGATCTACAATGGAAATAATGCTTTTCTGAAATATTTAGAAGGCTCCATGAAGAAAATGGACAAGTTTCATGAAATCACATATATCCTTAAGGAATGACATGACTTTTCACTGTGTGTGGTCATACTAGGTGGAAGAGACATTTCCAGTTCTTAGGAATTGATTAATAAGTTTTTCTGATGATTGTGAGCAAGAATCCAAAAGGTAAATCTGTAACACGTAAAAGTAGAAACCAGGCTTTTTGGATGTATGAATTCCTTTATTACGTGGGAAATTATTTTAAACTTGAGTTTATACGAATGAAAAGTTGAATAACTTCTTTTGAAATCACAGAAACTTTTAAGTCAATAGAAATTAGTATATAATTCCATTCTTGTGACTGAAAAATGTAACCTATGGGGAAATTAAACATTCCGAGTCTGTTTCTTCAGCTATAAAATGGAGCTGACAATACTTGTTACTATAAAGATGAATTATTATGCAAAAAATATGGTTTTATATATGTATGCACATAGATGTGTGATGTGAGTGTGTGTGCATGTGTGTATGTAAGAATGAGCATAGCATCTAATACATACTTTTGCAAAATAATTAATAGGTGTTCTTGTAATGTTAATAACCCCTTTCATTAACATGCTTTGTCTATTTCAATGAAATAAAACAATGTTTTTTCACCTTATAGCTCTGGATTTCAGAGGGCTTCAAACTTACCATACATTAAATTTTAATATATTTTATCCATGTTTGTCCAAACACTGTATTACATAGGTTTTCATCTATTTTAGCTCATTAGCTACAAAAACTCAGTAGCCATCTATCATAATTTCATTTAAAAATTTGTGCAGCGTTACCTAGAGTGGTGACTAGCACTTATTCAATGCCTTACAGTTTGATTTAAAAATATAGTTTATTGGTTTAAAAATATGTTTTATTGTTTCTTTTAGCTGTCTTCTTTTAAATTCAGACTCAGGAAGGATGCTACACAGCAGGGTTAACTGATGAAATTCTTGAGTCCTGAGTAGGAGAAAGGGAAACAATGAGAACAATGTAGATTTAAAGGGAATGTAACTTTGAAAGATGTGGGAAAGGGATGGGGCAATGAATCCTTATGTCAGCTACATTTGCATTCTGTAAATTGGCCCCATCACTTAGCAGTGGTTTACATTTAAACCATTACTTAATCTTTCTAAGTATCAGGTAAGAAAGGGGTAACCTGTAAAATAGGGATAAGAATATTTAATTCATAGTATTGTTGTATGATTAAATCAGGTAATATTTGTACCACACTTAGCTAAATGTATGACATGTAGTAAGTGGTGTATTATTAACCTATTATTTAATGTCTTTATCCAGGATTCGACATGAGTATAAACAAATGTAAGCTCTGCCTTCAGGGTTACCATTTTGTAGCAAAAACTGTGAACAGATTTTCATGTTTTGTATAATGACATTAAATAAGAACCGTATTAGAATTACTGGTTCAATAACATCTTTAAATATATTGAAAAAAATAAATGTTTTATAATATGATTTTCTCTTTGCATCTGTTTATCATCTATTTATATATTTCAGTTATTTCTTAAAACCATATTGCTGTGGGCATTTTCATTAAGCAAAAACTGTATATGCATACACAATAATTATATGGTTTATGTAACAACCCATGGGATATGGCTTTTTAGTTTTAATGGCATATAAATGAAGGCTCTTTGAGTTAGGGGAGAGACATTTATAAGTAGTGTAATAGTCAACTAGCTAAATGGAGACATTCTCAAGGGAAGTCTAGCATTATCAAGAAATAAGAAAACCTAGAAAATTTGTGGTTAGGATTTTATGAACTTGTCATTAGTAGATAAGAAAATTTTAAAATGAAGCAAGCTCCCATTTTAAAACATTAAGATGCATTTAATGAGATGGAAAACACCTGAGAAGGAATGGGTTTATTGTGGGAAATGAAAAATTTACATTAATAAATACTGATCACTGTCTATTTGCAGGTGTCAATTAAGTTAATTATACACACAAATTCATTCATGAATTCCCCACTTGAGTATGTTAAACGCCTTAATGACTCTTCCCTTAAGTGTGACATGTATGTGACTTAACACAGGTGCATCTTTTCAGGGAATACCTTTCCCGCCATCTTTCACTTGACCTTTAAAACACAGCTAAAGAACTGCTTACTCTGGGAAGCCTTCCCAGATTCCATGTTGATTTAGATGTTCTGGTGCTAGGAACCCTTAGTGCACATGAATACATTTACAATGAATTTTACTAATCTGAATCCTCATTATGTATCAGATCACTGATAGCAGAGAACCACATCTTTTTCAAGTTGGTAATCCCAATATCTGTGACAGGCTTGACACAAACAGATTCTCGAGGCACATTTTTGGTTGAATAACTAAAAAAGATTAAATTTATAATACATTTAAATATCTCCCTCTCTGTTTTGCAGGTGAACTGTTTCTAGTACACAGCACCTATAAGGAGGAGTAGATGGAGCCAGGGTAATGGAATCAAGGAGCAATGTGACGTACTTTGTCCTGTTGGGCCTCACACAGAATCCAAAGGAGCAGAAAATCCTTTTTGTTTTGTTCTTGTTCCTCTATATTTTGACCATGGTGGGTAACATGCTCATTGTTGTGACTGTAACTTTCAGTAAGACTCTGGGCACACCAATGTATTTCTTTCTTGCTAGTTTATCATTTATGGATGTCATTTATGCTACATCTATTTCCCCCCAATTGATTTCAAACTTATTCTTTGGGAAAAGTGTCATATCCTTTCAATCCTGTATGGTCCAGCTCTTTATAGAGCATTTTTTTGGTGGATCAGAGGTCTTTCTTCTGTTGGCGATGGCCTATGACCGCTATGTGGCCATCTGTAAACCTTTGCATTACTTGGTTATCATGAGGCAGTGGGTGTGTGTTGTGCTGCTGATAGTGTCCTGGGTGGGAGGATTTCTGCACTCAGTAGTTCAACTGAGCACTATTTATGGACTCCCATTCTGTGGCCCCAATGTCATTGACCATTTTTTCTGTGACATGTACCCCTTATTGAAACTTGTCTGTACTGACACCTATGTCATTGGCCTCTTAGTGGCGGCCAATGGGGGAGTCATCTGTTCTATTGTGTTTCTGCTTTTGCTTATCTCTTATATTGTCATCTTACACTCACTCAAGAACCTGAGTCAGGAAGGGAGGCGGAAAGCCCTCCAAACCTGTGGTTCCCACATCACTGTGGTTGTCTTCTTCTTTGTTCCCTGCATTTTCATGTATGGGAGGCCTGCAAAGACCTTCCCTATTGACAAATCACTGAGTGTGTTTTATACAGTCATTACACCCATGCTGAACCCACTAATCTACACTCTGAGAAATTCAGAGATGACAAATGCTATGAAGAAGCTCTGGAAAAGAACAGTCATTTCAGGTAGTAAATAACTCCATTATCCACCTAAAGAGAAACATTTTTATTTTTTTAATTAATTTATTTTGAAAGATTTATTTATTTATACAAGCATTGGGTACAGTCAGAAACGCGGGAGGGTAAGAAGATTCACCAGAGCCAGAGCAGGGAACAGAACAGGCAGAGTGACGAAATACACTGCTGAGGGGAGCAGCGGGCAGCAGGAGAGGTCTGCTACTCCATGTAGGTAGCTCCCTGGCTGGCCGGGGATCAAACTTGTGCTGCAGAGGCTGCCAATAACTTCACAGTGCTGTGCTTAACCCCTTGTGCCACCAGGGAGGACCTGCAGGTGTATTTAAATATATGCTTGCTTTTACTATGCAGTGTCTTGAAGATATTTCCACACCAGTCCATATAGATCTAACTCTCAGATTTTCTTATATTGCATAGCTCTTACCAATATTCCCTTATAAATATGTTCTAAAATTATTGCATCTATTCCTCTTCATGTCCTCATTCTTTTTGACAAATAATATTCCAATAACTGCATTATTTTTCATATGTGCAAATATGATTTCCTACAAGTGGAATTGTTGATCTGCACAGTGAAAAAAATTATTAAAATGAAAAGACATCCTGCTGAATGGGAGAAAATATTTGTATATTACATATCTGAGAGGAATCTAATATTTGAGATCTCATACAACTCAACAAAAAGAAAACAAATAACCCAATTGAAAAAATGGTCAGGATCCAAATAGGACATGTGAGATACCACCTTACATCTGAGAGAATGAGCCACATCAAAATGAAACAAAAAAAGTGCTGGTGAGGATGTGGACAAAAAGCAACCCTCATACACTGTTGATGGGAATATAGACTAGTCCAGGACCTATGGAGAACAGTGTCAAGGTTTCTTAAAATATTAAAAATAGATCTAGTATATGATCCAGCATTTCCATTCCTAGGACTCTACCTGAATAATACAAAACCACTAATCCAAAGGGATACATGCACTCTTATGTTCATTGCAGCACTATTTACAAAATCCAAGTTATTTAAACAACCGAAGTGACCAGTGATAAATGAGTGGATTAAGATGTGGTATATAAACAATGGAATACTGCTCAGCTATTAAAATGACATATTGTTTAGGAATGCAACTTTGAAACAAAACTACAATATGAAATCTTGCCAGTTTGCTACTACATGGAGGAACTGGAGGGTATTTCACTGTTAAGTTAAATAAACCAGAAGGAGACGGTCATACTTAGTGTTTTTACTCATATGTAGGATATAAAGAAACACAACAATGGAATGGACAAAACTAAACCAAAACAAACCCTAAAAATCATTGAATCCTGAGTACCAAGCCATTGTTCTTCATCCAAGGAATTACTGTTATAATGCAAAGACTGGGATGTGGAATTAGAATACATCTGCTCTGCTATTTCCTATGATAAATAAGTTTATATTAAAAAAAAGGAAAAGAAAAAAAAAGAAAAAAAAAGAATCTGTAGAATTGAGGCTACCAAAGGGGATTTGATCATGTTGGTAAATCCTAAGTTCTCTGTCTGTACCCAATAGTCAAGGAAATCTGGGAAGTACACTTATTTGGATTTTATGTTGGGAATGTAGACACTACATAATCAAAACTAACAATGTCTTTTGGGCAATCACATGCTCCCAGTTTCCACTGGAGTTGTGTGTTTTAACTCAGGTTGACAATTTTATCTGATTTCTTATATGAAACTTACGAAGGTCCCTGTTTGTCTGTCCTACACTTAAGAAAGAAGGGAGATATAAGAACCACAATTAGATTAGTGAGCAGAAAATTTTTGCTACTCTAGAGCAATTGATATATTCAGTTAACAATACCTACTCTGTAAGCATTGTGCTTAGTGCTCCAGAACACACACAGATAATTTGGAGATTTTTTTTTTTTTTACCATATTGAGGTCATATTTATTCTCACATTTCCATCTGGACACTCTTTTTTTTTCTTTTGCTGACCATCACCTATTTGGCCCACCTTCATCCCTCCCTATCTCTGTTAGCCAACAGTCTATTCTCTGTATCTTTGAGTTCATTTATTTGTGTTGTTTTCGAAGTAACATTTGTTGATGACATACTGGTTTCAAGTGTATAGACTTAAAATCAACATCTGTAGACACTGCATCACGCTTACAAGAAGTCTTTGGAGTTCGTTCAGCAAGATAGCAGCAGTGTGATGAGAGTGGTGGGTAGCCTTCTACACACACACACACACACACACCACCCCCACCCTTTCCCCACAAAAGTGATGCAAAACAAGCTAAAACCACTGAAAGAGATACTCATTATTGGTGTCTATAATAGGAGACCCAACCTGACTGAAAGGGGTGGGAAAAACTAAGTAAACTTTGTTAAAAGTATAATGGGGCAGTGAATCTCACAAGAAGGAGGGCAAATAGCTAGAGGGAGCCCCCTCTACCTGTTGACTTGGGCACAGCCAATATGGGCCTCCCAGGACCTGGCAGGCACTGGTAAGTGGCTGCAAGAGCAAGCTCTGAGGATGAAGGTACAAAGGTGAGGTCACAGAGCAAGGACTGCTGGTTTGAAACTGAGGATCATAACACAGATCACCTCTAGCCTGAGGCAGGTCAGAGCACCTGGACTTCCCTAGAGAACAGACGCTATTGACGTCCAGGCTGTGATAACTGAAAGACCTGCCCCAGCCCTAGCCCCCAAGCCCTAGGCTGACACATCCAAAACACTTGTGCCCCCTATCTAACTGGGGTACTTCTTTTTTTTAAAGCTTTATTTATTTATAAATAGAAGAGCTGGGGTACAGGCCAGAGGTGTGGGTGGTGAAAGGATTCACCAGAGACAGAGTGGGGAGCAGAACAGGTGGATTGACTGAAATACACTGGGGAGGGGAGCAGTGGGAAAGACAGGAGAGGTCTGCTGTGCCATGTGGGTTGTTCCCTGGCCTGGGATTGCTTCATAGTGCTGTGCTTAACCCTTTGTGCCACCAGAGAGGCCCTAACTGAGGTACTTCTTAACCTTTCCAACCTATAATAGCATGTAACTTGGTAGTAATTTATGGAAAACTACCTTAATTTTGGCATGTTTTAGATGGAAACTTTCCTGAATTAAAAAAAAAATGCTTCATTTAAGTCATTCTCACTCAAAAGATTTCAAATAAAATCCAAATCCCTTACTTAAACTCTGTATTTCCTGAAGACTGTGATTCTCATTCATGTCTTCAACTACAGCATATTCTCTTCTCTTTTTATTACCAGCTGTGTATACTGAACTTTACATGTCTTAAATTCTTTTCAGTGCTGAGACCCTACACAAACCAGTGCTTCCATGGAGAGAGCAACTTCCTGTCCTTTGGATCTCAGCTTAAACTTCTTCAGTTAAGAAAGGCCTCCTTTGATAATGCGCAGAATTCCCCCTCCTATTTTCTATTCCCATAGTTTGTTTTTTGTCTTATTAGTGCTGAATGAGATGCTAATTGTTTCCTTCTTTATTGTCTGATTCTATTGTAAGAATATAAAGTCAGTGCAGTAGGACACTTTGAATGATTTTTATGAATTGTCCTAATTTTTAAAAAAGATTTATTTATTTACACAAGAACTGGGGTACAGGCCGGAGGTGTGGGGGGGGTGAGAGGATTCACCGCAGACAGAGTGGGGAACAAAACAGGCAGACTGACTGAAATACACTGCTAAGGGGAGCAGTGGGTGAGACAGGAGAGGTCTGCTGCGCCATGTGGGTATCTCTCTGGTGGGCTGGGAATCGAACCCACACTCCAGAGACTGCAGGCAGCTTCACAGTGCTGCCCTCAACCTTCTGCGCCACTGGGGAGACCCACCATTCATATCGTACTTCCTGACTTTAAGTAGTTACTCTAAATTTTATAATTGCATAAATAATTATTACATATAAACTGGTGACAAAAATTTTAACATACCTATCCACACTTTAAGGCAAAATAAATTAAGTATTAAATAAAAGGAAGAAAAAGTTACAGTGGCAAGTAGGGAAATACATGATAAATCAACCTTCAGTGGAACAATCTTCACTTGGATGATGTTTTCTTCCTGACTGCTGTCATCTCATCACAGTTCTACAGCATTATGATTGATACATCTTTCTGACCCTTATTACCTAATTTTGTCTAGTAGTATCTTTATATATAGATGCACTTTTAAAACTTTGTGGAAAATCCCAGTGAATTTAATTAAATGAGAAACAGTGTTGGACATATTCCAATTCTAGGACTCAGTGATTCATGTGGTTAGAACAGATAAAACGTCTGTGATCTTTGCTCCTCTCTGAGAGAGGATGCTAGTCTCTTAAGAAGTGATACAAATTTTCAGATGTTCCTTAATTAGGCTTAAAGCAAGATATAAAAATAGCATGAAAATAGCTCTCAAAATCTCAAGTCAACTTGTTTGGCCAGCCCAACACTGTAGAATGAGAAGGGCTAAGTGATTTGAGTGACATATTTATCTATTTTGAAGTTTCTTGTAAAAGACACTGACAAAAAATTTTCCTAAGAAATGGTTCCTTGCTGTCTTCTTTGTAAAGATGCGATTTACTTGTCTTTTTGGTAAGCCAGACAAATGTGATAAACCTTTGTATTCTGAGTGCATAATGGAATTTCTTTTAATAATCTTCAATGCAAATAAAAACAATCTTCTGCATCATCAGAGACTTGGATAGAGAGCAGATTAAAGTAAGATAGATCCTCAAGTAATAATGCAGCTTTGTGCTTATGAGTGAGTTAAAAAGCCTCCTTCAGCTTTTGATCAAATCTCCACAAGGTAAGATTAACAGCAAATTGTGGGTAGCAGGCTTTGAAAGTCTGTGAATTATGTAAGAAGTTTAATAACTGAAATAAACTTAGATTCCAATATACCAGTTTTGTCACTTAAAAAGATGTGACCTTGAAAGTTAAGCAGGTGTTATGAGCCTCAATTTCTTCATCTGTGAAATAGGATTATTGTTCTTTTTACTGTAAGTATTTAGATGATACATTAAT